AATCAACAAACCGGAAGTTGTTAATTATAATTGGAAAAGGTCTTTTAGCATGTGGGAATCACCTGTGGGTAAACATTGTAGAAGGATCTTGGGCATGGGGGAAGGAAATAATAGGGCATTATATTAAATACTACTTGGTACCCCTATTCTTCTTTCACTTCCAGCTTATTGAGAAAAATTTCCCATGTGGAAACAACTTTAGTCTAATCAAATGATGGCTATCGGCTCAATTGATTGTTGGGCTTAGATCTATGTCCTCATGCATTTGTTCTTCTTCTTCTTTTTTTTACAAAATCAAAAATCACATTTCCACATTTCCCAGTGCCCAAGGCGATCTCCAATGTGCTGCATGCAACGATAATAAAAGCCCGTGTGGTGTTGTGTTTGGAGTGTTACAACTTGGGGTTGCTTCCAGATGACCTGCTTATTGAACAGTCATCCTGATTTGTTTGTGCAAAGCCAGTTACTGTTTCTCAGCCTAATCCACCCCATAGGCTGCTGTGAGGAGTAACAGGCTGCACACAGTTCCCAGAGCTCCTTTTGAGGAAAAGGTTATAGATAACGTTATGTACTGAGTTGAATAGGATCCAAAATGCAGCAGTCTGATTGGTCCTAGAATAATAGGACCCAAAATGCAGCAGTCTGATTGGTCCTAGAATAATAGGACCCAGAATGCAGCAGTCTGATTGGTCCACAGGAACCACCCAATCCAGCTCCAGGTGGAAGTGAATCCGTGACCTGACTGGCTTACAGGAGAATCCCGGAATTAGCCAATCATGTGGGGCCCATTGTGTAAATACTGTATATAAAGCAGACATTCTGGGGGAACTTCCATTCTTCCTCACCACTACGAGCTGAATAAAGAGCCTGAAATCCACTCTCGACTCTGAGTATATTTCAGATAAAAATGTGATAGTAAACCTATAACACAAATTGAAGCAACCGCAACCTTAATTCAGAATAAAAACCCACAATCGAAGCCGCGGACACACCATTCCTTTAAATCAGTTATCATTCCCCGAGAATCCTGATTTACACTTCACAGAGCTACAGCTCCCAGCACCCTTAACAAGCAACAGTTCTCAGGATTCTTTAACTGCATGGTGTAAAAACAGCTTGGAGACTCTTAATTTCATCCTTGCCCTCTCTGTTATATTCCAGTCCCCCCTGCAATTCTCCTCGCCCCTTTCTAGTTCAGTTTCACAAGGAAAGGTTACTAACCCTTAATGCCTTTGTTCTAGCTGAAATCTGCAGACTTCTGCTATCAAGCAGTAGGTAGTGGTCTTCGCTGTCTTGGCATGCTGCTGGAATTCTATTATCAGGCTAAGTAACATTTTTTATTTTTTTTGTTAGAATTCAGGAGTGCTCTCTCTAAGTCAGTGCTGCTCCGTGCCAGAACGAAGGTCATTTCAATTTCATGTTATGTCGCACAGTTTTGAAGTGACATGTGTTTAATGATTCCCCCCCCCTCCCTAAATGAACTGTAACAAGTATTGCACTAATAGGCTCTAATGAGATGCCAACAAAGAGCAGGGAGGGGAGAGGAGGGTGAGAAGGAGATGAATCTCTCAAATAATATTAAACTAATATTTTAGCAAAGGAGCTGGCGGAAGAGAGATGAATGCCTCCAATCTCAAGTTTCAGTCCCTGCAAGAAAACACACACCACACACCAGTTTTCTTTCCTTCGTACTTCCTAGTGATCCATGATTTCATTGCTGACTTTCAGAATTTATAAACTCTGAAATATTTAAGGCATTGGAATCCATTTACAACCTGGCAGCCATTTCTCTACCCCTGTTTGCCCTGCCTTTCCCAAGACTTGAACTTTACAAATAAAACATTTTAAGTGTGTTTTAAGTGCAACATACAATGTGACACTAGATGGCGATGGTGAGCCTCATGGAAAATTCAATGTATTTTTAAAAACGCTTTTAAAAAAACCATTTTCAGAACAGTTTTTATAGGTCCTTATAGTTAAAGCTATGGTTTTCCCAGTAGTGATGTATGGAAGTGATAGCTGGACCATAAAGAAGGCTGACAGCCAAAGAATTGATGCTTTTGAATGATGGTGCTGGAGGGGACTCTTGAGAGTCCCATGGACTGCAAGAAGATCAAACCTCTCCATTCTGAAGGAAATCAGCCCTGAGTGCTCACTGGAAGGACAGATCCTGAAGCTGAGGCTCCAAAACTTTGGCCACCTCATGAGAAGAGAAGACTCCCTGGAAAAGACCCTGATGTTGGGAAAGATTGAGGGCACTAGAAGAAGGGGACAACAGTGGACGAGATGGTTGGACAGTGTTCTCGAAGCTACCAGCATGAGTCTGACCAAAAGGCAGTGGGAGACAGGAGTGCCTGGCATGCTCTGGTCCATGGGGTCACGAAGAGTCGGACACGACTAAACGACTAAACAACAACAAAAGATTCCACCTGTGTCACTAAGGGTGTCCCTACGCTACCCAAATTTAAATTGATTCGAACATCTCTCTCTCTCTCTCTCTCTCTCTCTCTCTCTCTCTCTCTCTCGGAACTCTGGGAACAGTAGTTCTGTGAGGGACATTATGGATCTTTATCAGGTAATTCTCTGCACCCTCACAAAACTACAGATCCCAGGATTCTTTGTGGATAGCTGTGACAGTTAAGTAGGCAACAACAACAACAACAACAACAACAACAACAACAACAACAACAACTCTCATTCTAGAAATGTGTAAAAGTTCTATACATTTGTACAGGCCCGTAAAAGCAATCTAGGGGTGTGACTTCTGCGGCAGGAGAATTAATCATTTTATCCTGCTGCAAAGATCCTGAATCCCCCCTTTTTTCTTTTTAGAAAAAAACCCCAGTTCTGATTGAAATCTGCTTACTTCTTTGACAGAAAACTAATTATAGCTTAAGGCAATAATAGGCCTGTTCCTTCTATTGTTATTCAAGCGCCACTTCCATTATAATACAGTAGACAGTCAGCAGCTCTCCTTTTGAAGAGATGGGTAAAAACTCCACACATATCTGATCTCTTATCTGTCATACTGGAAATTCATGATTTCAAAAGATAAAAAGATTGGAACTGAACTTGGGGCTAAAAATAAGTTGGGAAACGCAAGTGGGCCATCTTTTGTGCATGCCGTGCAGGTTTGCTGAACAGCGAGTATTGCAAAGTGTTGTGAGGGAGGCAGAATATTGCCATTTCTGTGACTCTAGTGGAGGTTAAGCACTCATTTCCCTGTTAACCGCTTCCAGGGGGGAAAAATTGCTTGCATCTCCGTTAACCTGGAAAGTCGCAGGATGAAGATTGGGATGGTATCCCAGCATGCAGTTCTTTCCTGCCATTTTCACATGTGATGCGTGGGGGGGCGGGGGCGGCCAGAAGCACACTTGTGCATAAAGGGTGTGATGGTGACATGCCTTGTGTCACACCACATCTGCTGGTGTGAGTGAAATTAAGTGTGACATGGGAGCATATTGATCAAAAAGCTACAGTTGTGTAATGCCACAAGTAATGCAGTGTAAAAGGACATCGGAAACAAAGACAGAAGCAGTAGTACTATAACCAATAAAGCTAACACAATTATGCAAGACAACCATTCATTCCTATTGCAAATCCCTCTTGAAGCCTGTTGTTTTAAACGATTTTATTAGCACTGCATTATGGAAGCAGGTCAAATATTTATGTTTTTTTCCATAATATAACTACGTGGCATAAACATGTGCAAATGCTTATATATTTGTAATATTCAGTTTATAAAAAAGAATCCCAGCAAATCTCTCTCTGCCTGTCAGAATTGATGCAGAGAAGGAAATGCATTTGTACAAAAATATTTTTTATGGTGCCTGACTTGTAGATGATCATTATCAGTATATGATTTGTCCTGTAATAGACCAGTGGTTCCCAACCTTTTTTTGGCCATGCCCCACCTAAGCATCTCTAAAATCCTGATGCCCCCCTGTGACATATAATTCTTATTTTTCAAAAAGTGAGCTCATATTCACATGGAGGAAGCCTAAGAGGCCATTAGCTTGGTCTAACTCATTCTCGAATTGCCCCTCTTAAAAATCAAATTGCACCCCTGTGGCGTGTGTGCCCCACGTTGGGAACCACGGCAATAGACATATTTCATTCACAGATCCAGTTGAGTAGTTCTGTGCTATAAAGCAGGGGTAACCAACATGGGGACCTCAAAATGTTGTTGTACCCAACTCACTTCAGCCCCAGCCAAAATGGCCAGTGGTCAACAAGGATGGGAATCGTAGTTCAAGGAGAGCCAGGTTGGCAATTATTGCCATAAAGACAATGAAACAGTATGCAAGAATTAACAATGTGTTGATGAGAGGACAATGGGAAAGAAGTTATTCCACATGGTTGGCAGAATAATGCAGTTCTGTATTTCCTTAGGATCTGTTGGTCTATTATTCATTACATTTATAAAGCAGGGATGCGGGTGGCGCTGTGGTCTAAACCACTGAGCCTCTTGGGTTTGCCGGTCAGAAGGTTGGCTGTTTGAATCCCCACAACAGGGTGAGCTCCTGTTGCTCTGTCCCAGCTCCTGCCAGCCTGGCAGCTTGAAAGCATGCTAGTGCAAGTAGATAAATAGGTACTGCTGTGGCAGGAAGGTAAACGGCATTTCTGTATGCTCTGGTTTCCGTCACGGTGTTCCGTTGCGCCACAAGCGGTTTAGCCATGCTGGCCACATAGCCCAGAAGGCTGTCTGTGGACAAATGCCAGCTCCCTTGGCCTGAAAGCAAGATGTGCGCCACACCCCATAGTCACCTCTGACTGCACTTAACCATCCAGGGGTCCTTTACCTTTTACCTTTTTTTTTTACATTTATAATCTAATATAGTGACTGGCCCATGACTGAGTGTGGACTTGAAGCCAGTTTGTGTCTTACCACATTCATTTTTATCACTTCTTACTCAAAGGATAAATAGAATCACAAAATCATAGAACTGCAGAGTTGAAAGTGACCCCAGGGATTATCTGGTCCAAACCCTGCCCACAGTCATCCCTGGATGGGCTCGAACCACCAACCTTCTGCTTAACAGCCAGACACACTGACCTATTGCTGCCACAGTAGATATGCTTAGCTCTATTTAAAATGTGTAGACTGGTTCCACGGAAAAGTACCACCCAGATAACAGAAAAGACAAGATCTGCTACAAAATATTGCAGTGTGCAGTGTTCTTGTTCAGGGTTGCAGCAAACTAGCCAATGCCCTCTTCCAAGATATTCAATTCTATCTCCCACCTCCATTGTTCCCGTCGCTCCCAGAATCGAGCCCTATGTACAGTATAAATTTTAAGCAGCATAATACCACTTTAAACAGTCATGGTTTCCCCCAGTGAATCCTGGGAGCTGTAGTTTGTAAGGGTGCTGAGAGTTGTTAGGAGGCCCTTATTCCCCTCAAATAGCTACAAATTCCAGAATTCCTGGAAGAGGGATAGACTTCTACTCTCATGCTGCATATGCATTAACTTGTCGGTAACACAAAAAATGTAGTTTTTGCACAATCTGGAATTATTCATGTTCATCCTCAACATGCTGCTTTCAGTCTGGATTGAGTCTGGATCCTGCCATCTACTAGGGTAATTGTGCTTGTTTAATACACATTCAAACTTCCATTAGAACTTCATAAACAATTTCCTGTGCCTTTAAAACATGTTTTTGCAGTTCGTAGATGTATTCCTTCCTCCTACCAAGCAGGTTCATTTAATGTAAAATAACATTTTATATGCTTGAACTTTATTTTTCACACACACACACACACACACACACACACACACACACACACGCCTCTTCCCCCCAGTATTACATCAGCTTGCTGAAGACCTAATTTACTTCATAATTTCTGAGTTGATAACCAAAGCATAGATGAGATGGCTTTGCATCCCTAATAAGAGTTATCATAATGTATTGAGGATGAATCATTGCTCTTCTATTGTTGTTCATTTCTAATTAGATGCTGTATATCGCCCTTGGTTTAAATGCGCAGTTTCCTGCGGAATCTCATGCCCCAGATTGAGAGCATATTTGGTCTAATCCAGCTCCCTTTGAAATCTATGAGTGGAAAACCACACGATCAGCTTGCAAAGCCGGCATGCCATAGAAAGAGAGGCAGATGCTACAGGAATAAAAGGGTGAGTGTGTTATTTGTTCCGTTTGCTTTATGGAGGAAGAGTTTCTGCTTAGTATTCCAAGAGGTTTGAACAGGTTAGAAGTCATGCTCTGGGTGGGTGCCTGTCACCACTGAAAATAGCTGTGGCATCTCTAGGGAGTCTACACTGCTATGCCACTTCTTTGCTAAAAGGAAACAAACACAACTTGTTCTGAAGAAGTTCACAGTGCCACTTCAGTCTGAATTTCTGCTTTATTAATCCTTAAAGGTGCAACAGCTTTTTCAATCCTAAACCAAGCCTTGAAATTAATGGTGGTGATGATATGACAATATCTACCAAACTCACTCTCCAGGGATATAACACAAGTCCAAATTTGCCAAAGGGGATCACTTGTTGAAATAAAACACAAGGCCCACAGAGCAGTTGCATAAAGATCAAATGCTTTTTAAAAAGTGATTTTGGATGCATATAACACCTGCACAGGTAAGTGTTTGCTCGTGACCAGTGCATCACTCACATCAGGCACCTTCTGATTTTGCACTTCTCTGAATTTTGCGCTGCAGTTCTCTGGATAAGCAATGTGTGCAAGAATGCACACACTAGGGGAGAGGTGCACAGAAAAGCATTTGTTAGTGAAAATGATATACACAATGCACTATATAAGGGAAAGCTGCTTTGCAAAAATATGCATGTCATGGTAAATTTGCACTAAAACGCTGATGAATTGTCATGAAATGGGGGAAAAAAAGCAACCAGTGACTGGTGTGAAAATGTGGATGACTGAATTTAAGACTGGAAAAATGAGAAACCGAGAGAAACAAAATTTTTCAGATTCACCCATCCCTAGTGGAGACTGATTCTAGGAAGGATATAATTTCCTGAGGCCTATGGAAGGGGCATAGCAGAATGGTAGAACATCTGCTTTGAGTGCAGAATGTCCCAGTTTCATTCCCCAGCATCTCCAGGTAGGAGGAGAGATCCCTGCCTGAAACTCTGTAGAGCCACTGCCAGTCAGTATTCAGGATTTCGTTCACGCCAATCAAACCCCAGCCTTTTCCTAGTCTTCCCACTCAGAGTCACTCAGCATCCAGCCATCACTGCAGATACTGTATGGTCCTTCTCAGGGATATCTACTTCTATATCTACATCTGTACCTTGCTATGCAGATACAGTGGTACCTCGCAAGACGAATGCCTCGCAAGACGAATTTCCCTATGGGCTTGCTTCGCAAGACGAAAAACGAAAACGTCTTGCAAGTTTGTTTCCTTTTTCTTAAAACCGTTAATACCCAGGGTGACTTCGAGGAGCAACTCATAGCACGCGGTGTGGTAGCCTTTTTTGAGATTTTTGAAGACTTTGGTGATTTTGAAGGCTTTGGGAAACCGTGCTTCGCAAGACGAAAAATTCGCAAGACGAAAAAACTCTCAGAACGAATTAATTTCGTCTTGCAAGGCACCACTGTATGACAGAATCTACATTATGGCAAATTATTCACCCCTCTTGGTTTCACTTTAAGTGATAAAGTGCGCCAGGCATTTTTAGAATCCCACGCAGTTTGGAAGACATATTGGGGTGGTAGTGGCAGAGGAGCTGTAAGCAGCGTCTACATGGTGCATGTGATCAGTGCCGGATTTACATATAAGCTAATAAAGCTATAGCTTAGGGCCCCACTCTCTTGAGGCCCCCCAAAAAATTAGAGAAAAAACAACAACTGGATGTACATTTCCAAAATATAAGATAAAAAACAAATAAAATAAAACCTACATACAGCAACGGTATTTTATGTTGTGTAGGCTCCTATGATGTAAGTAATGGGCCCCGCCTGCTAGCCTGCTCCCTAAAATATCACTGGTTTGCTCATTTCTATATATAGGGTGCCTACATTCTGCATGTGCAGATGGCTTTAGATACCTATTAGGTCCATAAATTACCATATAGCATATATTCAACATAAAAAAGCGACAATTTGTTGTTGACAAAGGGCAGCTGGACATATAAAGGGCCCCATTACCTTCAGTAGCTTAGGACCTCATCAAACCTAAATCCGGCCCTGCGTGTGATATATACATCAGCGGTGTTACAAGGCCCAAACGCAGAATCTGGAATGAGCCATTTCTGACTTAGAAGTCTAGATAAGCAAAACGAACAAACAAACAAAACCCCAGTGTATTCCCATCACCATAGCTGAGAGAATAAATTTCCCGAATAAAGATTTTGTAAGTGAAATGGAATGCCGAGTATGGAATCCTGCTTTGCTATTGGATAGCCCTTCTGGAGCACGTATGGTAGGCCCTGAGATCAGGATAAGGGTCAGATCCAGGCCATTGCTCAATTAAAGCCTTTCAGCCTGTTTGTCAGGGCGCCTGAATTTTCTTCTAAAACAATTTCAGACTGTAAGGATTACCATTTTTAGAGATTAGCTGGACTATCTTTTTCATGTGTCAATTAAATGCGGGAAGGAGTAAGGGAAATCCTTCGTTCGGCTCTCTGCCCCTGGCCCCACTCATTCATGTTGAAGAATGCAGAAGAATACCGCTATTTTAATGTGTGAATGGTGGTGGGGGGAGGCTAAAGACCTCTACTGAGTAAAGAATTTGCTTCTTGATATATGGGTACTGTACCCAGCTCCTTAGCTTTTCAGTTCTAGTCTTTTGAAACTGACATGAGAGGAGATTCCATCATGGTACAAGCCATGTACATAGGTTTCCTGAGGTGCTTCCAGTCTGTTGCTATTTGAGAGCTGGGTTACGCAATTAAAGTTGATTTGGTGCTTTGGAGCAACAAAGCCACTCCCCCCCCAACTCCCTTTTTGTGATTAGGAAGGCAAAGGGCCTTCTCGGTGGTGGCGCCCGTCCTGTTGAACGCCGTCCCATCAGATGTCAGGGAAATAAACAACTATCTGACTTTTAGAAGACATCTGAAGGCAGCCCTGTTTAGGGAAGTTTTTAATGTTTGATGTTTTCATGTTTTTAATATTCTGTTGGGAGCCACCCAGAGTAGCTGGGGGAACCCAGCCAGATGGGTGGAGTAGTAGTACTAGTAATAATAATAATAATAATAATAATTGCACTTGGAAGTGCAGGGTAATGCTTGATGCAACATTGTATAGTTCCCCCAGTGCAAACAAATAAAAAGGAATGCTCACTAAATAGCTAACACTGTCTAACCTCTGTGCAAACTTTGTGCAAACAAATCAGGACGAATGCTCAACAAACTTGATTGTATGCTGTTGAAGGCGTACACACAATGCACACACCTAATGCCACTTTGGAAGGCCTAAGCATTCCTTCGCTGCTGGAAGAGCAGGGAAATGGGGACTTTTCCACTTGGGGTGCAGACTTCAGTTTGCACAACAACAACAAAATCCCTCTTCTCTCCTCTCCTGCTGTTCCCAACACTTCTTCCAAATGTATTCCAGAGGGTTGGGGGACCCTCCAGAGCAGATTTTGGGGGAGCTCAAGGAGAAGAAGGGGTACCGCCATTGTGTGAGTGGAACTCTGCTCATGGAGCATGGGATATAACCCTTCGCATTTAGGTCTTAGTCCGTAAGAAGGTGAATATAGGTTAGCCTGGCCAAGTCCTTCATGAAGCCTGCCCTAGGCTCCTGTACTGCTCTGGGCTCTTGTGGAATGATGAGTGGCCTGTGAATTTAATACCAGTAGCAATAATAAATACACATTCTTGCCCATTGATTTGTGTGTGAGGAATGCTCCTAAACTATCAGCAGTTGGGTGGGCAAATGCTTGGTTCCAAAGCAGGTAGAAATTTCTCAGGAGCCTAGCAACTATCTATTGCGTTACACAATACAGAAAAGGGTTGGATAGGGTCAGTAGATTGGTATCTCTCCCCCCCCCCCACTTCTCTTACACGCCTTGCAGGTAAAACCTGTTTAATAGGACCAAGGAAATGGAAAGATACAGGGTCAAATACCAGCATTTAAAGGCATCAAGGCCAAAGCAGGTA